CTCCTCAGTGGACCTATTATTTACTTTTTAAAAAGTTTTGATATTTTTATATTAAAAAATACAAAAATACATTCATATTAAGAGATTCAAATTTTAAAGGAGTCAAGCATGCAAGTCCTGTTTCACCACCATTCCTCCCACTCTCTTTCCCAGAAGTTAACTACTGGAGACAGTTTAATGTGCAGTTTCATTTCTAAACACTTACATACATTTATTTATACAAACAAAAATACTTTCAACATAAATAGGAGACTATATACTATTCCACAACTGGCTTTGTTGTTTTCCATTTAACACACTGATTTACACATGAGGGTGAACATTTTCTTTTGAATGATTATTGGTGATTCATTTCTTTTTCTGTGAACTATTTCTTTACAACCTTTGCCTATTTTTCTACTGAGTTGCATTTTCTTTTTGGTTTGTATTAACTCTTACACTGCCACATTGTGGACACCCATCTTTTGTTACATATGCTGCACAGACCTGTTTTCCATCATATTCATTTACCATTTCCTAACAGTATAATTTTGGACAAGCCATGTAACTCAAGCTTCAGTTTCGTTACCTAGACAATGAGGACAACACTGCCTGTGTAAGACTGTGGCAAGAATTAAGTGAGAACTGCGTGTCAAGTACCAAACATTATGTCTGGCATTCAATAAGTACTCAGTAAATGTTAGCTACTCTTCATTACCTAGACTTGAAGCCACAGGTTGGCTAGGTGTTTAGTTTAGCCCATAGTTTAAAAATAATACATTTGAATCCTTTAGGTGAGGCATACATTTTCTAGTTGCCATACCCTCCACTGTCTCCCCACTCTGTTTTCTACACTGCAGCTTCTCAAATTTGTTACCAGCCTTCCACTCTCCCAAGTGTTTTTTTTTGGTGATGAAGATTAGCCCTGAGCTAACATCTGTTGCCAATCTTCCTCTTTTTGCTGAGGAAGATGGGCCCTGGGCTAACACCCGTGCCCATCTTCCTCTATTTTATATGTGGGACGCCTGCCACAGCATGGCTTGATAAGCAGTGTGTAGGTCCATGCCCGGGATCTGAATCTGCGAACCCCAGGCCGCCGAAGCGGAGCACGTGAACTTACCACTACGCCACGGGGCCAGCACCTCCAAAGTTTTTAATGGATGAAAATAAAGCAGGCTTTGAAATTATATATCACCTATAATCAGGGCTGCTCTGTGTGCCCATTATGCATTGAACAACACCAAGATGTGTTGTTCAGTGTAGCCTACTTATGGAGCCCCTTGGGACTGGGCGATGTACAACCTGCACATCTGTACATGGCAGCCTGGTCTGCATTTCAAAAAGCTTGAGGGCACTCTTACAGCAATTTTAAAAGCTTTCACAAGAGGCATCTCTTATTTTCACAATACATACTAGGTAGGATCAAGACGGGTGTGATATCTCTAGTGTATAGCTGGGGAAGGAGGCACAGAGCTAGTAAGCCAGTAGTGTGGCCCAAATATCTCGACATTCAGATTGGGGCTGTGAAGGACCAAGTCATCAGGTCCCTGCTTGGTACCCTGTCAAAGCCAAGATTAGAGCTTCTGGATTTCCAGAGGCCTCCTAAAAATCATCAAGGAAAAGCCATAATAGAAATTACTACCTCTACAACAAAACCAGGGATGGGATTAGGCTAGATAATAACGCCTTACATGTATATAGAACTTCAAATGTTCAATGTTTTACAAAGTATGTTTACACACTCATCATAACATTTATTAACCAAGTCTGGTAAGAAGGGACAGAGATTATTATACCCATCTTGGGGTCATCAGATGCTGAATTTTGGGGTACCAAGATCTCTAAGGAACTCCCTCCAAAGATCTAAAAGGCAGTCTTACCATCTACCAGTCTACAGGAATTGTGGTAAAGCGCCAGTCTGAAATGATGTGTATAAAATCCAGGGAGACAGTGACAGCTACCCAGCTATCAGTTATAGTTTCAAGATACCTGCTAAACACACACACACAGTTTCTTTTTTTTGTGTGTGTGTGAGGAAGATCAGCCCTGAGCTAACATCTGCCAATCCTCCTCTTTTTGCTGAGGAAGACTGGCCCTGAGCTAACATCCATGCCCATCTTCCTCCACTTTATATGGGACGCTGCCACAGCATGGCTTGCCAAGCGGTACGTCGGTGCACGCCCGGGATCCGAACCGGTGAACCCCAGGCCTCCGCACCTGAGTGCGTGCACTTAACCGCTTGTGCCACCGGGCCGGCCCCTCACACACACTTTCTAATGCACGAACTAGTGGGAAGTTTACAGACTGACAAACTTGTCACTGGAAACTGAACACACAAAAATAAAGAGCAAAACAAACCCAAGTCCAACCACCTCGTTAATAGCTGAGGTCTTTATTTCAATTTGTATGTACAGTAAAAGTGCTGCTGAGAATCTGCAGCAACCAGACAAAACATAATTCTCTCTCAACAATTAGCAGCTTAAGATCTATCAACTACAGTGTTAACGTTCACACGTTCACAAGTGTCATTTCTGTACTTATCAATTCGTGCGAGTTTTTATTCTTACTTTGATAAAACACACTTACAGTCTAGTAGTCAATCCTACTGAGGGTATCACCTAGCATACACAACAGACAGACAAAAATGTTAACTCTTAGAGCCACATTCAAAATCCCCAGTTTCATTTGGGGGTGGGAACCATAATTTTGCCTGCGTCAATTTGTTGATTATAATATTTGCTTTTGTTTTGAATGCATATTTTCCAAAGCCGAAAGGCAGCTCCTCACTGGAACTCACTCGGAATTCAGCATTTTCATCTGACTGTACCTCAAAGGAGGATGAAATCAGAAACAAAACCAAATCAGTGAAGACCACATGAAAATACGCTCATTAATAGGACAGCGCTAGCGAGGAAGGCTTGATCTCTGTTTTTTTCTTCGTATCAGATTTTTACCTTAATTGGGTGGAGGGGGTACAGGGAAAAAAGAAGACTCCAGTCAGTGAAGTGTAAAATTTAACCTACTTTTTCTTCTTAAGGAGCCAGTGGAATGGAAGGCCTTCCTTGCTAGGATGTACCGAGTATATACCAAGGAATTGAAATTGGAGCAGACAGAAGTGCCCTTCAATTATCATTAAAACGGTAAAATGTTAGTCATTCTATAACTTAAACAGAGTCACCTAGGCTACCACCGCCAGCCTCACGCATCAACAAGAAATCCAGGAATGCTTCATTTCAAAGGGAATGCATGTAGTCTTTAAAAGAGAAGAAGCATTCAAGTGAGGGGAAGTTTCCACCCACAGAACAATTGTTAAACCATTAGAACGAGGTTATAGAAGAGCTCTGAATAGACAAGAGAATCCAAGAACAACTACAATTCAAAGATACTCAAAGGCAACAGGTATGGGCAGCAGGAAGTAGGGGAAGGCAGGAAAACAGATGCGAGGTTAACAAATAGCATTAAATGCAGACAACTGTTGGGTCTGGGGAATAATCAAGGGACAAGAAAGCTAGAAAGCCATTACTGTGCCTGACCTACCAGAAGGTCCTTCCTAAGACAGTTTGAGAGAGGAGGATGGAAAGTTAGAGTGGGCCTGTTTGGCTGGGAGCTCAGGGGGCTTTCCAGAGGTGAAAACCTTCCTTTGATAGAAATTGTCCCAAGGCAAATGGGAACAATTTCAATCCATCTGTCACAGTGACTTCCAGTGCCCACAAAACTTAGTAGCCACTACAGTTTAGGGGACTCAAAGGTTCAACCTTAGAAAAACTGGAGGATTGTGGCTAGAGCATATTTTCAATAACTTTGTGGGGCTCTCTTCCCCACTCTAAAGCAGAAAGTGAGGAGAAACTGCTAGTTTGACAAGGTCATGGTGTCCTTTGGCACTCTTGCCCAAAGTCATTGCAATATTTTTAGGCAAAGTTAATATTTTAAATACATAGGCTTGGGAAAAATTTGTTTTTGGCCTGAACATGAATTGGTTCCAATTACTTTTTAAAAGAAAAATCACCCCTATGGTCCCTGCTCTGGGCACTAATTTTGAGAGGTCAACAGAGCTAACAGGTGTACTACAATCATCTGAGGATGGAGTGAAGATTGGGGTACCTGAGTTAAAACAGCAAAATGATTATGGAAACAACATGCTGACTCTGAGAAGGCCAGCCTGCCAAAGTCACAAGAGGCTGGAGCTGTCATGTAATTCATCCTCTCAGACAGACAAGGCAATGCTCATCTAGTTCCAAAAGAAATTTCCTGGTATGGGGGAAATAGGCAAAGCATGCTTTGCTACTCTTTTCAGGGCATATTATGTGCCCCTTGTTCATCACTTGGTTGCACAGACCTGACGCCAAGAGGGGACAGCATTTGTGATTTAATACTAAAATAAGGTTAACTAAGTTTTCTAGATAAGCTCTAAAAGCCCAAGTTATGTTAATAAGTCAGTCTAGATGAACAGAGAGCATTCTACACCCCAAACTTGGGTCCTTCTAACCTGACATTTCCTCTTCTGCTCTTTAGGGAGAATCACCCTTCAGTTGATTCTCTCAGGCAGACATAATAAAGCTTTGAAATTAAGAATGCTGGGGTCAAAATGCAGACAGAAGATTCCACATCACTTTGGTTTCAGTAATCAGAGGGTGTTAAAAAATAAATTAAGGAAACACAAGGAATTATTTATGACTTTCATAATATAGTCTCAATTTTTCCTAGAGACAACCCCAGCCCAAAGTCACTGGGTGAACATTTTCTTGGGGCAAAAAAATCTCTATCCTATTATGCTGGTTTGTGGAAAACAGCCTCCCACTCTCCCTGCACACCCCTTTCCTCTCCAACCAAGCCAAGCCCATAAAGTGGTGGTGTGGGGGTGGCAGGACACCAAAAAGCAGTAGCAGCAGACAGAGAAGGGAATTTAAGCTGCATCTCAAAACAAGGGCATCAGAGGGCAGCATTTATAGCATGTCTTCCTTTACTCAAACTGTTTCAAGACAAGAGGGAGCAGCACACTTAAATATCCACACATTTCTTCTTTTAAAAACATCACTTCTTTATTTCAAAGGAAAAATAAAAGACCCTCCCAACCCTTTCCAAAAAAACCCAATAATAACAATAATAAAAAATCCTATTAGAAACCATAAGGAAGCACTGAGAGTTTGAGTATTACATTCTTCAAGTATGCTGTTCAGATTTTTTGTTTTTTAAACTGGTGACTATACATGTATTTAAAAAAACCTTAAAAGTGCGGCCATGGGATTTTGCTTAAAATTAAGTATTTAGAGGGCTACTTCAAAATACTGTAGTAGGACTGTGCAGTGATCCTTTGGGGCATGATGCTCTCACTTCTGTATCCTAGCAAAGGTTAAGGGACCAGGTTCAAAAGAGATCATGCTTCCACAGTTAGCATGAGTGGCCAACTTGGCTTGAAAGCCAGGGAGATCCATGTATTCTTCCACGGACAAGGAAAATCCACCCTGAATCCAAAAATTCAGACATGGAATGTGGTAGGATTTCACAGTAAAGTTAGTCTGGGAAGGGGTGAGGTGGTGAGCCCAGACAAGGCAGGGTGTTAAGTTTAACTGGTTTCTCTAATCAGGTTTTCGCATCTTTTTAGTGGGTTTTAGTGTAGTCCTTCAAGCCACAATTTAGAATGCTCTTCAGCGTGCTCCAGATTGTTGGTTCATGTTAAAGGACTGTTTAAGATTTGCATCCCAAGGAAAATCATGCTACATAAAAATGATCCAAGATTTTTGCCCAAAAAACTTCTTGGATAAAATCTAAAAAATACTATTGCAATTGCGTCTCTTGAAGAAAAAAACATTATTCTAAATGTAAACAGATTCACTCAACTCTTTTGTTGTAGAAAACTTCAGAGTAGGTAAGTTGCTGTCTAATTCTTCACTGCATGCACTCGCCATAGGGTAGGGGAGCACTGCCTTCTTGTGCCAGCATCATCTGGGGGAGGAAAAGAACCGTTCCACATAGCTGAAGAGGGCATCCCAGTGCTTCCAGAGAAAGGCAATGAAAACCACAAGGAATAAAGTGCTGAACGTCCTGTTGCGAGTCTTCATTAGAGGAACCACACAGTTGGCTACTGTAGACACAAAGACCAAAAGGACTGCCATGACTGCCAGAAGGATGTTGATGAGTTTGCCCAGAAGGTTCCGGGCAGTGGCATTCTCCAGCCCTTCCAGCTGTACCACCTGCTGCTGCTGCTGCTGCAGCTCCATCTTAGAGATGCGGGTCTGGCACGCCTCCAGGGCCTCCTGTGGGCCAGAACAGGGATTAGTTAAACTTCTGCTCACAAATACTGTAGCTGACATGCCCCTTGGGTAAGCCAGATGCATCTTGAGCTATGCCAATACTTTTAAATATGCTTTAAATATACTAGAGCCTTGAATATGAGAGGCCAAATATATAACTCACTATCCAACAACTATTATTCACCTAAATTGCTCCCCAGTGCATTCCCAGGGGATAGCTCACAGGAAGCAGTGGCCACAATCAGATTTGGTCCTGAACCTTTTAATGACAAGACCTCAGATACATGATTTTGTTTCTCTTTTTCCTATTTAAAAATTATTAATTTAAGTTGCACAGGACACACATACTTGTTCAACATAAAAAAATTTCAAATAGGACACATAGTCTCTTTTGATATTTTCCTCAATTCTAGTCCCTGCCCTTGAAGTAACACTGTCAGTTGGTGTGTGTTCATCCTTTCACCTGTGTTTTAAGTGTACACATATATATGCCTATGGGATTATTTTCTTATTTTCTGTCTTAATACAAATAGTATCATACTATGGGAACTGATCCACAACTCGCTTTTTTCACTCAACAGTAGGTCTTGGCAATCTCTCCATGTCAATACATAGAGACTCACCTCAATCTTTTTAACTGCTATGTAGCATTTTATAGTATGGATATGTCACTGTTTATTTAGCCACTTTCCTATTGGAGAGATTTAGGTTATTTTCAACTTTTCCACTATAATAATGGAGAGGTGAACATCCTTTGGCCATTCTGTACACATTACCTGGTGTTTTTCAAGTCAAGTAAATCAATGGAAAGGGCTCTCTGCTCTGTCTTCTTAAGAAGAGTACACTCTCCTTTTTAGGGTGATCTCTGTAAAGAGGACACTATGTCCAAACACTAGACCAAACATTACAAGCAATCTGCTTCCCTCAAGGCCATGACCTTCACTCATGAGTTTATATAAAATTTACCATAACATTCAAAGGACACAATCTATTTCCTTGGCTATGGTCAGACACTCCCCAAAGTTCAGCAGTGGTGGGAGCCCTGGGTTTTTCTGGTCTTGGTTTCAATGGGTCCCGATTTCCTGGGATTTGAAGGGACGGCCAGGCAACTTCAGACTGAAGCTAGCTACAGAATGGATAGACAATGGATATTTCCTAGCCTAGAAAGATCTTGGGAGAAAAACCAAAACAGAATTCTGGGACCTAGAGAAGATGGCAGCTGGGCAAATGATCTAGACATTCCCTTGATTCCTTTAGGCTGCTGTAATACAAGTTTCCTGGACCACTTCCCTTCTCTAAGACTAAGATACTTTCATATGAGACCACCAACTGTCCTTTTAGAAATACCTCCCAAGTGGAATGAGAAAAAGTTAAATATTCTGTCTTCCCACAGAAGAAACTACAGGGCTGTTAGCCTTAAACATTACTGCCTTGTGTTATTCTCACAAACTGCCTGGCAATGTATCTGTAAAGGGTTTGGATTTGGCAGCTAGGACAAAAGCCTCCTTTGCCATAGAAGAAGACAGGCAAGATGGCCATGAGGCTTGTCAGAGCAGCTCTTTAAAGCAGTAACCAACAGATGTAATGCATGTGGTTTTCCATATACTGAGACTACCGTGACCCTAAGAAACATTTCCCAAGAACTCAAGCAAGCATACCACCTCCAAATGGTATAGACTTTTGAGAAATGCATCTCATTTGAACAGCAGGTGTATTATAGTTAGTTGAAGCTTCTCTTGATACTCTACCCTCCCCATCTTTTATTTTTCTGAATTTTTTTTTTTTTTTTTTGTGAGGAGGACTAGCCCTGAGCTAACATCTGATGCCAATCCTCCCCTTTTTTCTTGAGGAAGACTGGCCCTGAGCTAACATACGTGGCCATCTTCCTCTACTTTATATGGGATGCCGCCACAGCATGGCTTAACAAGCGGTGCGTCAGTGCACGCCCGGGATCCGAACCTGCAAACCCCGGGCTGCCACAGCGGAGCACGCGCACCTAACCACTTGCGCCACTGGGTCGGCCCCTAAACTTTTTTTTTATTGTGGTAAAATACATACAAAAAATTTACCATTTTAATCATTTTAAAGTGTACAGTTCAGTGGCACTTAGTAAATTCACAATGTTGTGCAACAATCCCTACTATCAAATTCTAGAATATTTTCATCACTCCCAAAAAATCCCTCCCGGCCCCTTAGCTATTACTCCCCATTCCCCCTTCCCATAGTCCCTGGCAACCACTAATCTACTTTCTGTCTCCATAGATTTGCCTATTCTGGACATTTCACATAAATGGAACCATACAATGTGTGGCCTTTGGTGACTAGCTTCTTTCACTGAGCATAATATTTTCCAGATTCATCCATATTATAGCACGTATCAGTATTTCATTTCTTTTCCTTTTTCTTTCTTTCTTTCTTTTTTTTTTGTGAGGAAGATCAGCCCTGAGCTAACATCCACGCCAATCCTCCTCCTTTTTGCTGAGGAAGACCAGCTCTGAGCTAACATCCACTGCCAATCCTCCTCCCTTTTTTCCCCCCTCAAAGCCCCAGTAGATAGTTGTATGTCATAGCTGCACATCCTTCTAGTTGCTGTATGTGGGACGCAGCCTCAGCATGGCCAGAGAAGCGGTGTGTCGGTGTGCGCCCGGGATCCGAACCCGGGCCGCCAGGGGCGGAGCGCGCGCACTTAACCACTAAGCCACGGGGCCGGCCCCCTCCTTTTTCTTAATGTGGTAAAATACACATAAAATTTACCATCTTAACCATTTGTTTTTTGGGGAAGATTAGCCCTAAACTAACATCTGTTACCAATCCTCCTCTTTTTTACTGAGGAAGATGGGCCCTGGGCTAATATCCGTGGTCCATCTTCCTCTACTTTATATGGGACGCCGCCACAGCATGGCTTGATAAGCGGTGTGTAGGGCCGTGCCCGGTAACCGAACCTGTGAACCCTGGGCTGCCAAAGTGGAGACCATGAACTTAACCACTACGCCACTGGGCCTGCCCCCATCTTAACCATTTTTAAGTGTACAGTTCAGTGATATTAAATACATTCATAATGTGTGACCATCACCACCATCCATCTCCATAGCTCTTTTCATCTTGTAAAACTGAAACTCTGTACCCATTAAACACTAATCCCCTGATTCTCCCCACTCCCCAGCCCCTGGCAACCACCATTCTACTTTCTGTTAGTCTTTTGCTTTTACACCTGATCCTTCATGCTAACCTGGATGTCCCGGGCTCGTTCATAGGACTGATATGCAATTTTCTCTTCCATGCTGGCCAATTCTTGCTTCAAGTTCAAGATTTCATTCTGGTGGAGCTCCGTTAGGTCATTTAGTTGTTCTTCTAATCGTTCACATCTAAGAAGGGAGGAAAAGTTAAAATTTTATGCATTCTGTATTTTTCCTGGTGTTATTCACATCTAATCCCTAAAATCCATTCTGCAAAGGAAGAAAATAAAAGCACAAAGAAATTGAGTGGCCTGGGGTAGCAGGGCATGCTAGCGGGTACAGCTCTTAGTCCCTGGAATGGACAGCTTGTCACAAGGCCATATCAGAGCAGCACCATGGCTCGTCCACATTCTTCTCAACACACAGTATTTGCAGCGATGCCAGCAGCGCTGATGAGCTTTGAGCATACTATCCCGTAATAAATGAGGCAGTTCTTAATCTGCTCTGAGCAGCATATGGGAGAGGCAAAAACTAGAGTACAATTAAGCAGGTCTCATGAGAAGATAAACAGCACATAAATGGAAACTGACCTTCTAGCAGTCACCAGTAGCTTATTCTGACACCGGAGAGGTCACTCACCTGGATGTTAATGATTCAGAGCCTATCATTCCCATGGCCAAGCACAGTGTGTGGGACATCTCAGTCAACAAATACTTACTGAGAGCCTGCTGTGTGACAGGTATGTTCAAAGTACTGTGGTATTACCGTGGGAATACTGTGGTGAGCAAGACAGAATGCCTACCCTCAGGAGTTTATATTCTAAAGTGGAGGGTTAGAGGGCAGAAAAACCAAGCTGACTGCAGGTGTGGTTAAGCAAATTAAAGAAGATCAGTAGGGGGGCCGGCCCTGTGGCTTAGCGGTTAAGTGCACGTGCTCCACTACTGGCGGCCCGGGTTCAGATCCTGGGCGCGCACCCACACACCGCTTCTCCGGCCATGCTGAGGCCGCGTCCCACATACAGCAACTAGAAGGATGTGCAACTATGACATACAACTATCTACTGGGGCTTTGGG